TCGTTTTCAGCATCAAGGAAAATGGTCAATGAGATGAAAGCATTTCCTTCCTCGTTTCATGTTACATAAGAGTTTTAGACATTACCTCTATGTTATACTTACCGAAGACAAAAGGTTTTTGCTTTCAGAACCTTGTGCGATGTTCTACTGTAAACCAATACAGAACAATAAAGGGAATGCAATGCATGTGCATATTGCAGTTGACACGTTAAACACAATAATGACTCATTAAGTTAAACCTATGACGCATACTCGGAAAATAACAGTCATTTCACTCTAGTAGTAATAAATACTGATACATACATTCCTTACAAATTGCCTTGTGTAATTTAGTGTGGGTATTTTTTTAATTTTAAGAGCGAACAGTGGCGCATATAGAGATAAGTAATGCTATTCGCGTCTCATCAACTTCCTAATTTTTTATAAGCGGTAGTGCTTTATGGGAGATAAGTTGTTATAAAGTCGTCGGTCGGAATACTAAAATTCGGAAAAACTTATTGCAATCCGACGGTAAGACAGACACATCCTTTGATGCAAGTATTATATCGAAAGGCACCTCTTGGAAAAAATGCGAGGAATATTACGTACAAAAAAAGAATGAATGCCTACATCTTTACATATATAATTCTACTGTGCGTGTGTATGTCACTGAACTCTTCCTAAACGGCTGGACCGATTTTAATTAATTTTTTTGTGTCTTCCGGTCGATTCGAGAATGATTTAGATTCACTATTTTGTTTTAAATGATCGGATTTAAGGCGCGTGTACAGCACAACGTCTGCCCGGTCCGCTAGTATAATAATAAAAAATTGCACAAGAAATAAATAAGACCGCATAATGCGTTCAAAGCGATAAAAGCAAATTAACAATAGGAAAATGTCGTCCGCCAGCGGTTCGACGAACCGACAACCCCTAAACGCAAGCAGGGGCGTAGCGTTTGCACAGATTTCCTTATCAGTCCAATGTACGATAAATTAAATACAAATGCGCTGAGATTGGGTGTGGTTGTACAACACCTATCAATCTATTAATCCGTTTTAACACTTTACTGTTAAAGAAACTAATTATACTTATATTTATTCATAACTAGCGACCCGCCTCGGCTTCGCACGGGTACAATGTATTATACATATAAACCTTCCTTTTGAATCACTCTACCTAGTTTAAAAAAACCGCATCAAGATTAAAGATCTAAGCATACATAGGGACAGACAGACGACTTTGTTTTGTACTATCTAGTGATAGTTCAGTGGCCGGGCGCCCACTTTTAATTCCGTACATTCGAACTACCCAAGTCCAAATATATGTGCCGGCACTAATGAAATTGTTAGCTGAAACTTTAGGTGCTGATTAAAAGCAGATCATGAGGAATCTGCAGATAATCGACATAATTTAAGAAATTTTTAATAATTTAAAAAATATTTCAAACATATGTCAAATCTACCGATCTGCAATGGAATATGCCCCAATAACGTTTGTACAGGGCTAAGTAGTCAAACATATTCTACTCGTATACTTACTATTCTTTATTTTAATATATATTAATATAGCATATTTATAATTTTACACTTTTAGCATCTAGGAATATTGACAAGTCTGGTTGCTCTAACCAGCGGCTAGTCTGAGCTAAGCGGCATACCTCACAGTAAAAAAATCTCAACGTATTTATCCTCTTTTTGTTTAGTTTTGTTTAGTTTAGTTTTGTTGTTCTATTGTTACTTTTATGTATATTGTTATTTGTGGTGGACAATAAAAGTGTATTCATTCATTCATTCATAGTTTTTTAACCGACTTCAGAAGAAGGATGTTTTTCATTTCGAACATATGTGGTTTTTTATGTGTGTTCACGGATAACTTCGTCGTGTATGAACCGATTTGGATGATTTTTTTTTGTTAGAAAGGAGATATAGACACGGTTGTTGCAATTGTCAGTAGACGGCGGTTTTCGCTTAACGTCAGGTGAACCACCAGCTCGTTTGCCACTTTCTCACATTAAAAAAAAGTACGGTATAAAATATTTTTTATTATAGTAGTGCTAAAAGATATACAATCCTAAAGAAAAAAAGATCTCTTTAGCACAAGTTCATCCTAGTAGGAAACGTATAAATTTTATAGTTGCAAGGTTTAAAATGACTATAATGTAATGACAATTACAGTAATGTAACATTAAAATCCAACGCTTCATGAAATTACGCGTCGACGTTACGAATATAAACGTATTTACTGCTAAAATTAAAATGTATGATTAAAGTTGTTTAGCAGTTTATTTCTTGAGTATATGGGTCAACAAAATCAGCTTAATTTTTTTTTCATCGTTCTTTACTTAATATAAAATTCAAGATTTATACAAAACAACCCATTAATGCGTGCTTAAGAACAAAAGATGATTTTATATATAGTAACTTTATCTACTGCATGCATTATTTGCCTAAAAATATTGTATATGTACATACGTCATCTCATTATTCTTGAGACGTCGTTTCTTGATTTAAACGACAAATTACAATCGTAAGTAACTGTGAATTTTAATTATTCTTTATTTGCATTCCACAATGTAGCTTATTTATCTTCTCTCCCAATAAGTTATAAGAAATAATTAAAATATGAATATTAAAGAAACCAATACTTACCATGTAATCATTAACAACAAGCACTTACAATTATAATTCATGTGTAGTTCATAATGAACTTTTAAACAGAAAAGAGGAAAATAAAATTATTTTATCTTTGGAATATGCTAATAATGTTTATAACAGGATCATCTGTCAGCCACAAATTACGGTTTTATGTCCGTTTCATCTAAACCCAAAAACGTATTTTCATTTTGTACCTCTCTGTATGATGCTTTCCTAAAATAATCAAGAATAACAAAATATTCCAAAAGTTTTAATTAATAAATGTATTCGGTACCTGTAAAGTAATATAATTGATTCAGTAGATGTTGTTATTAGAAAACTTATGTTAAACAACTATAAAATAATATTCTTTAACAATAAACACCTAAAGCGGATTATTTTTAAACAAGATTTTTGTGAGTAGTAATTCGAAGCCGTAGTACGCTAAAATGCTATTAAAAGGTTACTCAACTACTTAGGTTTTATAATTTGCAATGCATTTAGATTTTATAATTAGATTTGTTTATAGACATCATTAAGTAATTGCCGCCCAAATGAATTTTAAACGACGAAAAGGAACAAGTTATTGCAAATGATCGTCGAATATTGGCGCGAATCGATATAAATATCTAAAATCAGCCCAGTCACTGAGTACTGAGAAGTGAGGCCATTGATCTAGGTGCACGTTTACTATATGACGCCCACCTATTTCGGGCCTGGTTATATTTACTGCGCATTTCACGGTACCGCGTCAAAACGGTGCCGGATTCATCGTAACCTCAATACAGCATTTATTACAAAAGTAATTAATAAACGATTCCTATGGCACCATTCAGTAAAACATTGCGAAGAGCTTCGTCAAATTTTCGGTCGCATTATTATATAATAATTATTGATGTTGGTAAATAGTTACGTAGCATTAATTATTAGAATATAAATGCAAAGTACATATATATACAAATGATTGCTTTGTAACGAAGATATAATCGCCGGCCAAATTTACTGCAATAAGGCTACCGTTAACTTTGCGTGGTTAGAAACAATTTCGTGTAAATAGTTCGTGGGGTAATTCTGTGACAAAATCAGATCTACAAGACCGCTTCTGGGATTATCGGACATTTTTGACTATTCTTCGTAATATATTTATATATAGTATGAATTTAAAAATACCAATGAATAATTAAAATTTTCTATATAAACAAATGAAATAGGTGTGTTAATTACTAAAGGACAACGTATAAATTTAAATTGGGATTTATATGATGTAAAATTTAGTGAGTATTTATAATATTAAATAATTATAATATTAATAAACATAAGAAAAAGAATTATAACGTCATATTTTATTCTTCTGTACGCATAAAATAAGTAATTTGGAGTTTAAGAAGTATCATAGACACGTCTTCAGCAACTTTATCAATCAAGAAAACAGTGTTCGTAAAATAAAACGATTAATGGTCATTGAGAAAACGGAAGCGATTTAATTTCTTCTAAAAAGCTGTTTCTTATCTCTAAAACTATTTCGTCACGAAGGTAACCGCGTAAGTTAAATTAGAAAAAACGTGTAACATTAGTGATCATTTGCAATGTTTCGAAATATATCACTGATTACGCAATTGTGGTATTGTCCGATTGTTTTTATTCGGTTTGCAATCACGAGTATCAGAACAGCGTGGAATAGCGTGCCTTGGCTACTTTAGCTGCGGTACTGTGCAACGCGCTGTGAAATTGAAAGTAAAAGTGTGCCAAGAAAATGCACCCGCGTAAAATTGTATACAAATACATATTTATAAAGCTCACGAGGCGGTAGAGCACAAAACTACAAAGCAATTATGACCGCAAGTATGCTGTACGACTCAATCCAGATAAAAAAATTCATATAATTAAATTATAACAATATAATTTTTTTAGGAGCTGGGTAAACATTAAAGAAAAACACAAACCAACTTAACATAAATATAATATAGAAGATAGTAGATGGCTATTAGGGAACGCTTTGTCAATCGATGGCAAGAAACTCTCTTAATTTTTAGCAACTTTTAGCCTAGTGCCGTGATCAGTCAATGAATAGTTATATAATGGGGTAAATAAGTATTTATCTTAAATGTAACTTATTTTGAATAATAACGTTTTGCAGTCTACTTCAGTCTTTCATCTAACCAAATTGTCAATAGATGGCATTAATATAAAAATTTTAAACGAAAGTTTTTTTACTAAAGAAATTAACTTTATTTTACTTGTTTATCTTTCGCAATACCTATGGGATGCGCAAACATTAAATTTGACTAAGAACTATGAAAGTTATGGCGCACCGACTAAAAACATCTTAGAGAACTAATATATAGGATGTTGGACTCTCTAGATGATATAACAGAAATAGGTTACCTTATCAAAGGTTATGACAGGTGTCGCAGCGCCGATGGCACCGTCTTTCTTCTTCTCAATCTTGTAGACGATGATGTTGTTCTCTCTTACTGTGTGGACGATGAACGCCTTGGAGTCCGGGCTCCACGCCACGTGGGACGCGTAATCGAACTCGATGTTGACACGTAGGTTCTTGTGCTCTTTCTGGGATAGATTCTTGATATCCCACAACATCACTGAACCATCTAATGGGACAAAATGAAAGGAATCAATTTCAATCAATACCACTTTCACAATGCATTTACTATGCTGTTAACGAAATTACTTTATTAAAGCGATTTTTGAAGTCTATTTATAAACTAACAGATAAGAATCTTAAAGTACCGTCAATATCCTTTTGGTAAAATTTTATACTTTCAAATGTTCGATAATGATTACGAAGAGAAAAAGCTCTTTAGCATTTTTTCGACTCTGAAAGAATATGATCAATGAATGTAACAAAATTTCATTTCTCTTAATTCAATTTCCTAAATATTGAATTACTTTGGTTATCAAATTATGGGGCTACCTGAAATGCGCTTTCATTTAATTGGAAATTTTATTTTATGAAACAAGAGTGTTACATCAAATATGATTTCAGTTTAAAACTTGTAGAAAAAGTACGAATAGATTGTCGCCGCTGTGGGAATCGAACCCACGTCTTCGGCATTCGCGGCCTGACGCTTTAGCCCCAAGCTAAACGGCTGATTGCCACACTGACGAAAATCTTAACGTCTTTTATCTACATTGTTAATTAGCATTTAAAGCAATGCTTGGTGCATCTATTGTTATATCCTTTCCAGCATACAAACAATTTCGAATATCGTTTTACAACGATAACTTCGAACGAGAGATGTCGTCATTGCTTCTTAGAAATTTAAAGTTTTTTATAGTGCTAATGTCTGCACTCAAGATTTAACATTAAAAAAAAAAGTACGAAAAGATTGTCCCCGCTGTGGGAATGGAACCCACGTCTTCGGCATTCGCGGCCTGACGCTTTAGCCACTAAGCACACCGACGAAAATCTTAACGACTTTTATCTACATTGTTATTTTAAACTCGAATTGTTGTAGGTGTTTCCGGCCTTTAATTGAGTGGAAATTTGGTTACATTACCTCAATTTTATTTTCCTTGTTGCTACAAGCTGCCGTCAAGCAAATCAGAATCCTTAATCATTTTTTACAAAAACATCAATGATACAAATAAGTTGACAAATAAAAAGTAGAATATTAAAAAGTAAAGTTGGCTCATTGTGACATAATTTCATTGAAACTTTTCCCAAATAACCCTAACGCAAACTATGATTCAGCCGGTTGCATAGTTCTATCTCACATTCCGTGTTAAATATGGTCACAGTGGGTAAGCTTACAAAGCGGGAACCGGTAAAAGGTCAACAGAACGTCGAGATATCGAAATTGAGTCACTGTATCAAGGCCTTCGAATTTCAGGCAGCCACGTAATACCCAAGCGCCAGTAACTGACCGTAGTTGAAGCGTATAATATTCACTACAAGATATACAGTAGTTATCTAGTAGTGAACATAATAGAAATATCGTTTAACAAATAGTAAGTATTGATAGCATTGGTATATGATGTTAAACACAAACTCAAATTTCTTTATTCAATAAAAGCATTACACTTACTCATTGATTGTCAAAAAACTCTACTACCGGTTCGGAAAGAAAGCCACTGATCTGAGAAGAACCGGCGAAAGAAACTCAGCGGGATTTTTTTTTACTTAATTTGACAGGGAAATAACAAGCATAAGTTAGAGTTGTAAATAAATTGTATCAGATGTACTTATAAGATATACCATACTTTTTTTTCTCTTACATATGCATTCAATTTGCATTAAAAATCCTAAAAAAGGGCCATGATTATATTTGCTGTGAGAAAAATAAATGATGTTAAAACTCATGTATTAATATAATAACATTACATGCAATACTATGTTGGCATTGCAGTTTTGAGACTATGAAATCTTATCTAATAATATTTTTCATTGATGATTAGGTATATGTTCATTAAGTTTGTTATTTTTGTTTTTCCAGAGTCAAGCCTGATCTATGTTACATAAATTAAATAACTTTTCGACATTTGTTGCTTGCGATTTGAATTTAATCAGAATAACTTTTATCAACTTCCAGTCGCGCGCCTCGAATTAAAGAAACACTAATAAATATTATATTTCTTTTCTTTCAGTTTTCAGTCCATTAATTTTCAATTGTATCAATTAAATAACATCCCAGATATAAGTTATTTAAGAAACTATTATCATTATAAGGGTATCATATTTCAGATTTTGAATTTCCGATATATTTTTGGTGAGTAGGTTGTATTCACTTGGCGATTCACTTGATGTAAGTGATATCCGCAGCGCATGGAACGTAATATTGGAACACCCGTATGTTTGAAGATGCGTTGCCACCTTTAAATAAAGTTGACCCCGAGTACCTCACTCACCATAGAAAACGCAGAAATATACAACTTCCACTTCATGCCGGTGTTCGGTTAGGTCATGGTACTTCCGCGGACGGACCTGCCCCATCGTACAACAGTTAACTGTTCCGTAGACCTACCACTATTACCAGACGTAATACATTACAGCATTCATAGTGAATCGATAAAAAACATCCTATGTTTCGCGCCCTGATGTCTTTGTTGGCACGGCCATTCCCCTTCGGTCATCTTTAAAATTATCATTTAGTTTGAACAAGAAAATCTTTACTGTTTTTATAAGCCCTGCAATGGCCTCGTACGATTAACCCTATCTTCTTATCGTCTCTATTGTAGTCAAAATGTTGCTTTACTTCAACAGCCTCCCAATTATTCATCTGTGCTTTTTTGTAAAGCAGAAATGAAATGAAATCAAATGTGAACATTATAGTTGCTATCAATTCTGGAAATCATGTTTGCGAAAGCAAAACTCGCAAACTTCTTCTTATATATAGAAAGAACTCTTCGTTCTTCAAAAGGTTCCTTCAGTGTCCTCTCTATGTATAACTCTGTCTTGAAGCAGTCTTCGTTTCCTTAAATTATCTAATTTGATCTTTTTTGTATATTATAATTCTATTGTGATATGTACTGAACCATATTTATGTATATTTGTATATATATCCATGTAGAGTAATGATCGTATAACATTATAGTACCTGTATATTGTTGAACGTATCAATGAATTTTTTATACTCACTCGAGTGATTTTTCATTACTTTTACACCTACTTTTTATCTCTGCAATATCCAGTAGGTTGAATGGTACAAAATTCCTCTGACATTATGTCCACCTATACTCTAGCTTAGTTTAGCAAAATTTTAATAATAAACAAATTATTAAAATCAAAGTACTCCTACAACGATGTAGATATTTTTTCTAAACGATTTGTTATATAAAACTTGAGTCAGGATGGTATAAATCTTAATATACAATTCAATATCCTTTACCCATCAATACACTTTTATATGCTCACATTACCCCGGGGACGCCAAACTAAGCAATCAGAAAATTTTAATTTAATAATAGTGTTTCTGTTAATACCGGTTCGCACGTACAGTTAAGCGCGCAGAATATTCTTATATTTCAAAAAAACCGGTTCTTTAATTGAGATGCAAACTTAAATTATTATTATATTTATATTTGAAAAAATATGCCAGCCTTGGCAATTATTTCAAATTGGATATAAAACATATGACTTATATTATAAATTCGATGCTTTATATTCAAACGTATTTTTTTTTTTATTTTTAATAAAATAGATGATATCGTGTTAACAGTAGTTTTCTTGATCATTTAAAAAAGAGACATCCACAACGTAACAACATAATGATAAACTGATTATGATATATAGATATTTTGGTCATACATTTTTATACGTGAGTTTTATTTACGACGTGCCCTAATTACTCGTATTAGCAAATTTTATAAATCAAAGTACCTAATATTATTTGCTTAAAAGATTATTGTACTTTTATAACCATGATGAAATAGAGTTATTGTTTCCCCAAATTATTTAAAGAATATTTCCCTAAAATTAATTTAAAGTAAAAAAAAAACTCATTTCTTTAAATACGTTGATCGGTCGTATTATGTGATATATTAAGCGCTTTAATATCTTTAGTTCAACGCCCCCCTCAAGGGAACTAGGAAGTATAACGTAATCCAACCGCAAAAACTTGAACCCAACAAAAGTCGCATACGATAAGCACACAACGCATGTATGTTTCTTTAAATAAAAACCATTGTCAGTTCATACATAAATAATCAGCTTGGTGATTTTGAACGTCGCAACAAGGCAACGTGTCTGCTTTGTTCACGTACAGAATTCAAGGTTTCTCTATTTTGTAGGATGTTTTCAGGCGACGAAGTGTGGTTCGAGCTAGATTGTTTGTTGTTAGTTAGATATTTTATATTTTATGAAAATATACTTAAATTGCATTGATGAGGAAAAACGGAATAACTTGTGTGTTGTTTTAGCACTTAATTACATTACGGATTGTAGTAAGGAAATAATATGCACTTCTTCGCGCTGTGTTCTTGTACACTTCGAGATACATATGAAGGTTTTTAGAATTGAAGAGAACCGTTGTGGGCGCTTAGGCGAATTTAAGTGAACACTATGGCGAAACAATTTGTTTGTGCAACAGCTTTGTTGTGAAAGAGGTATACGTAAAAGCGAGTTGGACGCCATTGAGGCCGGTGTCGCTATGTACTGTTCAACTTAAACGTGTGCCACATTGACTGCTACATTGACACAAGAGTCGTGATAACTCAGTGTCCAGGCGCTCGCCTTTTTACTCGAGCAACCTGAGTTCGATCCCCGGTGCCAGCACCAATGCAATTGTTAATTTTAATTGCAGAATTATAACGTGCTCCGCGGTGAAGGAAAACATCGTAAGGAAACCTGAATATTTTCGAAATAACAATAAAAAAAAATACATCGAAAATATGTGAAGTCCGCCAATCCGCAGTGGGGTAGCATGGTAGACTATTTTATTTTATTTATTTGATGAAACTCAAAACAAATAACGATCCAGTGTATCAGGTATAAGACGGGCTAAAAGTTTAGGTTCTTACCGAACTACTACATTTAAAACCTAACACTAGATTTCTGTGTGCCCTGAAAATATAAAATAAATAAATAAATAAACTCAGTGTGCAGGCGCTCACTTTTAATTCAATATACTCTACCTACCTGAGTTCAAATCCCGGTGTCAGCACCAATAAAATTGTACATTTTTGAGTGTTGGCTTATAAGCGCTCAGACGAGAAGCAAAACATCGTGAGGAAAGCTGCATATTTTCAAAAGATAAACAAAAAAATATACCCAAACCCGTGGGTTCTGGCTAGCCCACCGGTTCTGCATCAGATGAAGCTTTAATAGTCTCGGGACTGAAAGCAAAAACATCAGTTAATACAAGATACAAAAATATTTAGAAGATGTGTGAAGTCTGCCAAACCGTAGCGGGGTTGGGTGGTGGACCATATTCCTGTGGTGACTTGTATATGCTGTTAATTTGCTTTACTTTATCTACTACACCCCTACTTTCCATCATATTTGCTAGTAGTCAAGTACTGGAAAGTGTATCAAAAATAAAATGAAGGCATCTAAGAAATTTTCTAACACCACTGACTCATGCGCTACGTTTGCTTTCCTGCGAATTATTCCCCGGCACAAGCGGTGATGACTTCGTTTTGTTCTTATTATTCACAACCTGCTCCGATCAGCCGGCAGATGACGTGGCAGCGGGCGTCCTCGCTTCCAAGAAACGTGATTGACTAATGACGATTACTTCGAACGTCACACCTATATTTCGGATCCGCCGTAATATTATAATATTAAAGCACATCTAAACCACATTGAAATAAAACCTTACCGATCATTATTTCATTTAGTTATTGCGCACGTTATCGTTTGTATTTATAATTCAACTAACACATATAAATGTACTGGCACATGCGTCTGTCATAATAAAGATTAGATAACGAGAGTCGAGAAATCTGCGGCGTTTCGCAGATACTGTGATATAACGATATCTATTGAGGAAATATTAAATGTAATATAGCCTAAATTAATAGCAAGCAATGACCTTATTTGATACCAGAGTATGAAAAATAATGTTTTTAATCTCCCGCCGATTGTGAAAACACTTCTCTATAAAAATAATCGACATTATTTCGGACGAAACGCGAGAAATGCGTACCAGATCGACCGGTCGAAAGGGCATTACTCTTTCTCGAGCGATAATAAACACTTGAAAATACCCATACCAACTAACACTAAGGTCATCCACACGTCTACCGGCCTTGTAGCTTATTGAGAAATTGTAAAACATTGTCAATAATAATTGTGATAATAAGGAAGCGAAGATCAAAACAAACAATGCTTGGCAAAGTCTTAAACACTTCCTGTGAAAAAATGCAGCGTGTGTTTGAAGATTTCTCAACTTCAGCCAAGCCAAGGTAGAAGTCATTAAATTCGCTCATCAACCCACTAAGCGTTTCGTCATAGCTTTACGTAAGACAATTATATAAGACTTTAGTGCAATGTCGACAGATTGTTTTGTCTAAAATTTATCACGAGTGAAGTTAAAATTCAACATTGGAATTATATTTTATAATCCTCTATTAAAATAAATATGAAGTAAGTTTTTGTTTAAGAAATTGCATAAATGAATAACCAACGCTTACAAATCAACTTCTATTTTAATTTCTTATAGGTAAATAGCGTTATATTAAGATATTCGAGTTTATTATTTAGATATAAAGTTTTAGACGTTCGATGGTAATATAACGCGTGCAATGTCGGACACAATCTGATACTTGCATAATAGCAACGTTGAAATATTGATGTAGGCTTGAGTTACCTACTGCTCCCGACCCACTCCACTAACAGATGTGATGTTACATAGAGCGCATTGAAAATATTTTCATCGAGAAAAAGACTTCAAAATGTGGGTATACTAAAGAAACGATGTATAACTTCCTGGTCTAGTGAGCTCACAGAAGCCACACCAAGTTGAAATGAATTAATTTATCATAAACTCAGCATGTTTACTTTTAATCTTATAGGTGCCTAATATTTCAATGGCTGGAACCGGAAGGCAATGATAAACTCAGACGCGTCTACATAAACATAGTCATCAGCGACTTTGGAATATCCAATAAAGCTGGCGAAATATAAACTTTTCCTCGTAAGTTGTTACTTGACCCAGACATGTATGATTCATCGGCTTAATAACATAATATTGTACAGTGTTATTTCAACCGACGAGTATTGCCTTACGTCAGCAAGTTCTTAAAAACCCACATTTGATATATCAACGAAACCTCCATATCGTTGCTATTTCCAACTACTCTTGTAATTATTTGCATTTCGAAAAAAAAAATCTATCCATAAATTCAATAAGCTGTTGAAAGCCGGGTAACAAGTTACAATAACTCATAAGAATATACAAATTTCGTTAGGCATGTATAATTTCCCAGCGATTTCATTTTGCTATTAACGGAAGATTAGAAAACTGCTGCCACTACGCGCAACAGTTGTGAATAACGCATGTTACGTTACAGAGAAATCCAGCTTAGTGAAAGTGTCTCCTTAATAACTGTTCAAAGATAAATGTGGATATAACATGCTGATGGACGAGATCGATATGTGTATGTTGTTTATGTTTTTTATTAAAAAAAGTATGTCAATATTTAGAAATCGGTAAGTGGGTGGTTGAAGTTAATTCGGTTAAGGCTCAACTCAGGCCACTCGTCACCATCCGCCATGCCGGAACCTGCTCAGTACTTACCGTTGTAATACGTGTTAATAAATTAAACAAGTTTTTAGAAAAAAAATATTACGTTTATTGCCATTTTGCAATCCGAAGGCACATACGCGAGTACGCGCGCTCCGTCAACGTAACAACTCATATGGAAATTATCCACAAACATTATTCGTAAGCACAGTTCATATTCATAGAATACTCGTCTATTGTTGTATCACTCGAAATCTAGGCGGAACTGATCAGGGGATCGTACGGCTGCAGTATTGACAGTTGGCTGGACAAGCGGGCACGATTCCGGCGCTCTTCGTGGACTTTGAGGAGCACCAGGTCCATTGCGGCGCGGGCGTCCTCCAGCGGCGAGTGGCCACCACTTCCTCGCTGCACGCTGCGCCCCAGCAACTCTTCGCACAGAGCGCGCAGGGACCGTCTGAGCGGGAAGCCCCGCGAATGGGGGTACAGCGCGCAGGTGTCCACCACGGCGCCGTGCAGCAGTTTCAGGGCCCGCAGATCGTTGTCCAAAGCGTGACCGATGAGGATCGTATCGCTGCCCACGAATCCGAGGATGTCATTTTGTACGTCTCGTAGCGTCTTAGTCGCGCGCGCCAAGTCGCGCGGCCTGATGCCTGAGAAGCGGGTGTTGTGGTCGACGACCGGTGAACTGGGCTTTACTAGCGATTTGTACACGAGCCGCCCGTCCGCTGCTATCACTGCGATGCTGGCCAGCTCTAGGCCCGCTGTTGTGTAGCACATTTCGGCGTCTAGTGCGTAAACGCCGCCCCTGGGGGAGCGTGCGCGTACGTAGCCCTCGAGCGGGCCGTTCATGCCGGGCCGGGTGCCGCTCCACACGTGGAAGCGAGCCGTGCTGCAGCCCTTCGAGCCCGACGGCGAATTGCAGCACGTGTATCGAGAATCACTGCCGCATACGCGGCCCCAGTGATAGGCACACGTCTCCTCCACTAGGTATTCACCATCACGAGTCATTCGAAACATCTTATCACATCGCACACACAAGTGTTCCACTGCATCCGCTTCCTCGTCGCTGTCGGAGCGCGGAGTAGATCCCCACGAGCCCCGTCCGCTGTCGCTCTGCGAGCCGCCGGGCACGAACTCGGGCGCGTTGACGTCCCACGTGGTCAGCTGCAGCGGCCTCGGCCGAGGCGGTGGGTTTATGTAGACGACGGCCTTCGACGACGTGGGCTCGATCTCCAGCGGGTAGCCCATGGCCCACATGCGCTTCGGCGACAGAAGGTGCGGGCGCAGCGCCTCCGCTAGTTCCTCGGCGGAGATCCTCTGCCGCGTCGACGGCGTCGGCGGCGCGGCCGGGGGGCGGCGTCGATCGCGCGGCCTGCGCCGGCGTGCTGCGCCGCTGGCAGAGTCCACCGACGCGACGGTCTCTTGGTAAAACCAATCGTGCCATTGAATACAAAAATGCATGTTTCCTGGTAGGCTTGTATACACATAGAGTCGAGAGAGCGGGCGAGCGCGGAGCTAGAAGCGGTGAGTACGTGCGAATCGCGCGCGCGGGCGCTGTAGTAATGGCGCGCTGGTGGGGCAGCCCACGCTTTATACGTCACGCAGAGGTAGAGCGCGTTCATTAACGGGACATAGCGATCGACCGGCCTATTCTCATTTTTCTAAACAATAATAAAAATTTCTGTCCGAGATATACACAAGACAATACCAAAGTTACAACCCTTCCTTACTGTCATCAACATACAAGAAATATGTATCATTTTAGAGCACCATAGATCTAACCTTTTTCGAATCGAATTCAGGCCATTAAGGACTTCTTGTTATGTATAAAAAATATACAAACTATAATAATAGTACTACGAAAAAAATGTATTGTTATTCCTATAAATTATACAACAATTATACGCATATCCTTTAATTAAAATTAGAATTCAGAAGGAAAATTAAAATAGTATATCAAATATATTTGATAACCATATATTATAATTTGGTAATACAATATTTACTACAAAATAAATTAATTTGACTTTTATTTAAAAATCCTAAATTCCTAAAATATTACAAAGAACAAAAGTGCTAATTATAAAACATTAAAGACTTATTTAAAATATCGATTAGTTAACGATCTTTAGGCCATAAGCTAATGTTGTGGCAAAATATTTAAATGGGAAATAGATAAGAAGCATGTTTTAGCACCATTCGCAGTGAGAACAATGGCTTGTTGGCGTATCTTGTATGTTCTTGACGCGTATATGTGTATGGTACGAGTGTTGTGCTCAGGATAGCTGAGCGATAATAGGAAGGAAGGACGGCCAATGCCCTTAGTACAATCGAACGCAAAATAAATAAACCAGCTGACGCTTTCATCGATTATTGTATTTATAGACGCTTACGTCGAGCTCAGCCGAGCGGACGTACTGATGTTATGAACACAAATCAACCTACGCGATACATCTCAAATATGAAGGAAATCTGAATTCTGAGGACGCGACAACAGACACGTACTGGCATGACACATCGCGAGTGAAATTATTGCTCAGACGAAATTATGTCAATTAACATAAACAAATGAGTAACGTGTACATTGCATTGTTCGTAGTAAAATCTTGTAATACATCATGATATCCGACATTATAAGTCGCATTAGACTACTTGTCGTTTTAATAAAATCGTTTAATATACTACAGGTAAAACGCTTTGAATACTCGCTGATGGGAAAAACACAAAGCAAATTCCCAACCAAATGGCGTCTGTAGTAGAAAATAAAAACATTCTCAAATAAACAAGATCGGCTCGGGGCACGCTCGTCTGAGATACGGCCATTGAGAGCGCGCCCGGGGAACGCGATTTGCTCGGGCGCGTGCGCGTGTATGAGTTTGTTTGTATACAGCGGGGCGTGTGGGCGGCCGGCTGGTCGCTGACACCGACGATAACCTTCGTATCGATGTCAGAACGCATCGGCAAACGGTAACTGCCGACTTGTTAAGGAACACATCTTATCGGGCGCCATGTTGTCCAACCCAGATGCGATATGACGCGCGCCCCGCCATTAGGCACCGATTATGTGGCCACGAAACGTATCCTGGTAATCCCGATTAACGCGAATCAGGAAAGAAGGAGCGTCACACAATGAAACGAGATGCGATTTTTTTTTAAATTGAATGAATGTGAGTGTACAAAGAACTGATATTATGGAAAATGATTCGATGAATTTTGTTCAATCACTTATTGAGATAAGATAATCTAAAAGAATCGATTCACTAGAAACGCTATGCAATATTATGTTTATAAATAATATTATAATGAATTTCACAGTCGAGCCCACTTGAGTGTAAACAGCTGTAACATTTAAAGGGTAAAAATTGAGTTCATTCATTAACATTCGATACAAAGACACTTTAAAGTGTACATTTTTATTTAGAGCAAGTTTAATAAAAATTACCTGAAATATCAGTAGAATGAATATATTTGCAGATAACGTAATGTGACCTAATTGCAATATTTTTCTTATCTTTTATTGTGCCAGAAATCGGAACTCGTAAAACATCATAGTAACGAATAAAACAATATATGACTAAGCGTATTGATGCAAAAATATCTGCTGAAAAACCCTTTATCAAATTACGTGTAACGACAGTCTGAACAATTCATATATGAATCGATTCTTTGTGATTGTTTGCGCAAGTTTTAAGTCGACGTCTGTTTCCTATAACATTAAACGCCTCCTTTTGACGTTCCGCTCTCAAATACGGTCAGTAGGCCACGGTTGGCGATGAATAATGAACGGACTAAAAAAAATCAGTTAACTTTGAAATAGCTATATTATACAAATGACTTACACAATAAAATCAATGATTACATTGATTCGTCACCTAAAAATTGTTCACACAGTGCACTTTATAGATTGAAAGGTGTTTTAATTGAATTACTTTTGATTGTGTTTTCGTAATTAAAATAGTAATGATCTATGAGTGTTTACGCGAATTATGTATAGAGATATTAAAAACAACCAAACAATGAAGAATCGATGACGGGCTTCATTAAAACAAAAGGGAAACCAGCGTCTTCGCAATATCACGTGTCGTGACGTTGTGTTTTGGTGAAAGTTGAACATCATTGGGTAGGAGCGGCGAGCATCGGCTCCACCATCACAATGCGCTGTCCCAACCGTGTCAAGGAACACACGTTAAGGCGGTTAAGCCCACAGTATTTCGCGAAGGCAGATAACTGGCGAAATTAACTATCAGCGTGTCAAGGACATACTTAACCGTTTCGTTTTATCTTCTCGACTAAATATTGCTACAATCTGGTATTCTTTAAGTGTGGATAATTTAAACAAGGCGCAACAAAACGAAACAATTGTTCAGTACAGTAGGACTTATAAGTTTTGTACCATTATCGAAATGTACTGAACATAGTAAAACGAATTCACCTTTAACTGGGAAAACTAACGATTTCCAAGCACGTTCGAATCGATGCCAACAAATACTGACTTTTACGAGACACGAATACATTGAACTGATCTCGAGTGATCTTTGTCTGTCTGAAAAGGAAACGTTCAAACTTATATTTAACATACAACCGTAGCATATATTAGCATAATAATGGGTTTAATAAACTTAACCAACTATATAGGTAGGTTAAGTTTATTAAACCGTCTTTTTGTTTTCAATTTCGAGTTTGGAAACGCTTGAAAACTAGGTAGATTGGGATTAGCTTTATTATTTATTAACAATTCTGCTATTAAAATAATAATGAAATGATCAAGTTTAAAGTTATCGTGTGCGAACAAATTTATTTCTTCCTAATGGATCTTTTCGAAATAATGGCAGTACCTATTTCGTTCTATATTTTAATTGATTATTACAAATCGTTAACATAATATTTTTATAAGATAAAATATACGTCTAGTCACAAACACAACATCTTTTTGCGCTTTCAGTAATCGGGAGACGTAATACATAACATTGTTTATAACGGCATCGTAGCATTATAGGTATCGTTTAGGTATAATGTTCATCCAGCAGACGGTGCCCTCTTTACATATGGCCGATTACGAGTGAGCGACGTGGCATCCTACATTGACCGCTTATCTGAACGGTACTGCGCAGTAGAAGCGAACCTGTTATAGGCGGTCGCACATCGCATTCTTTCTGGCCGGCATATTCGTACATTGGTTATCGGTAAAAAAAAATCACACACAAAAAACTTTATTTTTGAAACACTTACGAAATTCGTCGCCGCGCGACGAGGCGGCGCGTTTTATTGTGACAAAAATATGTCTAAGTACAAACTCTACTCGTTAAAATAGTATTTTTAGATGCGATTAAGATACATTCAAGGTGGAGGGCGATGGAGTGGCATTGGGTTGTCAGAGAAGCGGCGGATTCCCCGACCGGACGCGGCATCATGCCAACCGGCGACGTCATTTGCATTTCGCGACACAACACTAACTATATATTATAATATATTATAGTTATGTTTTGTTGAAAACGCTACAGTAAATCTCGACTTTCGTTTTTAAGTGTCATAATAAATGTTTCATATTCAAGCTCATCTACCTTCCCCCCCAGCCTAATCTGTTTTTTCAAGAAGGTTGATTACTTAAACCTATAAATATTTTTTTAATTACGAATGAACGATGCTTCAAGAAAATTTCAGGAAGACAAAAATTAGAATTTATCATTTGATGTGTTATAAAGTTTATAATAAATACTTTTTTCTTTTCTAAGTTATATCATACAGTCTTTCAATTTATTATTTCTACTATCCTAATTTGACTATCCTTATAAACAATAAAATGAAGATTCACATTACACGAGTAATACGACTTCCGTTATCAAAAGATTAGGTTGAATATGACTCTCTTGTACCTGTTTTTGCGATACATAAAACAAACTGTGTTAATATCGCACTATACGAAGATATTATACCATTTCCTACACGACGTATTGATTTAACGACGGAGCAATATCTTTTCGCTTACAATCTGTCGTGTGCTATTAATTTCAATAAATTCAATATGTGCGCTCGAATCTGGGGTCAGTGATTTCATGCTAGACTAGTTGGATGCCGTTGGGGTGACCACTTGACGTGGCGGTCATTGGCCCTCTTGGCGTATGAGTGACGACGCCGCCCGTGTAAATTACTTTGCGCTAATTTATGTGAGAATACAATGGCGTGCCTTCGACCGACGTACGCTGTTATCACATAAGATCACGAGCAACGGAAAAATGGAGCAAATCAAAACGTACAGTTCAGAAATACGATGCTGAAATGATTTGTTTTAATGTAAAAGGTTGTCAGGCGAGCACGCGGTTGATCTGACGTTGCCCATGAACTTCTACAACATCCGGTGGGTTGCACATGCGTTGCCAACCTACTTAAAAGTTCTCCTACTAAGAAGTACTCAGCTTCTTTACCTCACTCACTGGACGAAACCCAAAAGTATAAAAAATACT